TTACACATCTTCACTTTTCAAGAAATAAAAACACCTGAGGAAATATTATCAGATCTGTGGAGTGTTTATGATCTCTGACAAAGACAGCAATTTATTTGACCAGTAACAATAATGAAGTGAGGATTAAGCTAATTTCAAGTTAAGAGTCTCTTCCTCTAGAAGAGTACCATAAATCAATCAGGAAGCCTTAAGCAGCTTCAAATTAATTCTCCAGCGTCTTCTAGATTAATTCTAAATCTTTAGCTCTTAAAGTATCTAGAAAGGTTAAAGATAAGCTAATTGTTCGTCTCATTATTACTTTTTCTTCAGTCAGTAAGTTACCTTATTTATAGCATCACACTTCATCTTCTAATCAGAGCTTTCATGGCAGTTTTGTTGTATTACCAGTATGGCACAGGGACACCTCCACCTTCTCCAGCAGACATGCAAGTAGTAGAATAACCTGTGTGCCCTTCTTCTGCCCCAGGTGCCATCAAACACAGCTCTCCAAACAGTCCCTGTGCTTGGCTGGGGGAAATATGACTATGGTATCAGTGTTGCTTTCCAAAAAGCTTCTATTAGCTCCACCAGTAACCTTTACTAAAAGGTATGACTGGTGCAGTTGCCCAAGGATGGAAACTGACTGTCACTAAAACCTGATTTGCCCACCCCCACTGTAATGGGACTGAGCAGAACCGAGGACTCCAGAGGCAAAACAAAGCTTGAAATTCAAAATGCAGACCTAACACAGAGCAGAAATGCTGTCATCCCCTCTGCTTTCAGGTCAAATTTAAGTTCTTGCACTCAAGGTCCCAGTTTGCCTCTACAAAGTCATATCTCAGGCTTTTCCCAACCCCTCTGCTTTTCTTCCTCCCTACTCACTCACTGTGCTTTTCTCACTCCTTTTGTCCTTGCCTGTTTCCTTTTCTCCTCTGTGCTCTGAGCCTTATGCATGCTGCTCTCTGGGCTAAGATCTCTCCCCCGGGAAGGCTTTGGAGGTTCTATCTCAATAAATTTGGGATAACACTCAAATCCAACGAGAGTAAAGCTGACCCATATCATTGGGGATCTCTTGCCAAGCATCCCCCGTCCTTCCTCTTGCCTCATCTTGTCTTTAATGTTTGTAACTCTGTTTTCTTCTTCTCCTTAGATGTTGGCCTATACTTCATATTTGCCAATTTTGCCATACTCAGACTGAGAGTTCCTACAGACAGAGGACCAAGTTGTTAGATTTTCCCTTACTTTGTCTATAAAATGTTGTCTATTAAATGTTTTCCCATAAAAGAGATGAGCAATTTACAACACCAAAGGAAGGAAAAAGTATGCACATAAGAGGGAAGAGGGCACACTATTTTCTCAAATTGTAATAAGTAACTAAGGAACTACTTTTTCCAAATTCACTGATCATATATATAAGGCAAAAAGGCATTGTTTAGAAAAAAGCATAAGAAAGGCAACCAAGGTTACTAGAAATTATCATATTCTTTAGTCTGGGAATATCAGCTGGGCTCCGGCTCTTAATTCAGCAGTTACAAGGTAATTCCGCAAGTACAATCCTCTAGGGACTGCAAATGAAAATAAAAGTCATGTTCAAATCAACCGATTTCAAGGTCACAGATTTGAAATCAAGGCAGCAGGGAACCAAAAAGCCTTGCAAAACTTACAAAATAAGCAGAAATCAGGATGCAACCAGGAAACTCTCACAGGTGTAACGCCAACCTGGATCTGCTAAACTCAGTGGTCAGTTGTTCCACTGAATATACGAAGAAAAATTAGGCTGTGAGTTAAGAGATCAGATAATTTGTAATGGGAGACTAACAGTGGACCACATGGAAAAATAAGTGGCTTGGAATGCAGACAAGCTTAGAGAGAGGGTGAAGCAATGGCTGTTTTGAGAACCCCTATTGGACACTGCTATAAAGTGCTAATAACACATGTCAAATGCACTATCGGCTGCAACAAGGGCAAAAGGAGTTAAACAACCTTACATAATGATACAAAAAAAGTGATTTAATCCATCACAAAAAAGAAATGTAACAGAAAAATCTCTAGCATGTAGGCGTAAGTGTGAGAATAGATCTTCCCAGCAATAGATTAGGAAAATCTGAACTTTGGCACTATTACCAGAGTGACAAAACTTTTAGACAGGTTACCTCTTTACCTGTCTGTGGGTAGGAAAGTCGCTTATAACTGAAAAAAACTCTTAAGCAACCTTCTGTGCTGTTTTCTATTGCAATAATTGTACATTGACTGCTCAGAACTGAATGGTGCCTGGTATCATTATTCCAACACATGTAACTACCCATCCAGATATTTACACTGCGTCTCTCCTACTGCAGAGAGACTACAAATATGAGCACAGGGGCAAACAATACTATTAACACTTCCCTTTTAGGCTGGTATTGCTATGTTAGGGCAGTCCACAGGCAGGTGCTGTCGTTTCTGATAAGCCTGTTGGATAACAGCAACAGGAATCTGTCAGATGCAGCCCACACACAGGATGCGTCCCGCACAGCATCCTGACCTCCTCCAAAGAAGTTTCATTTTAGAATTCTATGGAACATGTTACAAATACCAGCTGGCACTGTGTGATGGATCAGAGAGAAAAGGAAAGGCACAATGGGCAGTACAAATAACATGAAACATCCTCCGAGGGCAGCACTGGACTTGCTGGAGCGTGCTGTGTGCTTGCTTAAAGGAACAGGCAATATCTGTGTGACAGAGGGACCCTTGGCCCATCAAACAAGGAAATGCGCAAAGGCACTTTTGTGCTTCTCATGCAATTCCCTGACCCTGCAGTTGCCAGAAGATTAGCACTGTCTTAAAGACAATTCAAGAAGCTTCAGGCTTGGCCAAGAATAAATCTAGTAATAAAAAACTAATAAAGAATAAGTGCCCTTACCTTCACAGGATCATATTCACACCACAAGCAACTCCTTTTTCCCCAGCGAAAGGCCCTCACCAGTGCATAAGAAAATGTCAAACGCGTTGCACATTGCCTCACTACAACTACACAGCCTGCCATCTCTTCTTCCCAGGACAAGGAAATTCTGAGGGACCTACTTACTCCTGATTTCCACCTTCTTTACACCACTTGAGGTGAAAAGCTGATGGAGATGAACAACCAGTCACACCTCCTAGGCAGACAATCAGAGGCTCCCTAGTAGAAGAGCCTTTGCACACCCAACCACAACAGCTCAGAGTGCTTCTGCTCCAATGCAAGAGGTTACCAGATCCACAGGAGAGCTTTAAACTTTCAATTATCAGATCACTCACCTGAGCCTGTGAGACAAATATATGTCCTCTGTCTCCCACCCTGTTGCAAGCAAACTTCCCACTACTGGAGAGGGATAGATGATTGGATAGGTGTCAATACTTTTGAGCTACACAAATATATTTGGAAGAGCATTTCAGCAGCATGCTGAGAGTTGGGGTTCAGTATGGTATGCAACAAATAACGGCACTACTGTCTTTTTAACAAAAAGTTTTTTTTAAAAAGTCCCTGACATTGTGATTTTGCTTTTGAAAATTGTATTAAGACCTGTGCAGAAACAATTAGCAAAAAAGAGATTAATGAAGGCCAACAAAATTACTCACCAGTCCCTCACTAGGAAGTGATATCATTGCATCACATCTCCATGAGAACGGCAGAAGAGATGCATTGTTTCACAGGACATAAGTCCTGTATTCTCCAAAATAAAAGTATTAAATCTGCAAGTGTGTATGACAAACGAGAGGAGGAAAATTGCCTGGGCAGTGACAATCAGATGCTTGTAAACAGTACAGAACATTTACAATCTGGTCTGGGATAAACTGCAAGCTGAGAGTATATTGTACAAATTATACCACAGTCCAACTAGATTATTTTCTATCTGATCCATCACTTCTTGCTTAATCCCTCAAGCCAAATTCAGTGAAATCCTTTCCCGCTCTTTGTTTAGCAGCCATATAGTGAGTGTGTTCTCACACTCTCTTACCTAACTCAGTCCCACGCTCTCTGACCCACATCTTTCCATTTCAGAACAGGCACTCAGTCTTGCCAGGGATTTATACACCCTAGCAGTACACCTGCTCCTACCCTTTGCCATGCCCAACATCATTACCCAGGGGTCCCAGTGCTTCTTAGGTCAAAAGGCACAGGACTGCTGCACAGCCAGGTGGCCTAGGGAACCCCAAAGCTCTCCCAATCCCTGTGTTACACGGATTCTTGCCCTGCGGCTCACACTAAGGAGAAGCTGGATACGTGTATGAGGCTGCTAGGGAGGCAGAGAGTAAGGAAGTTTTAGGTTTCAGCACGTATGCCATGTCGTCTTCAAGGATGACACACTGGATAACAGGTTTTTAGCTCTTAGAACCATACCTCCTATTGGATATGCTCTCTGCAGTTATTCTAGGCAGTATTAGCTTGTTGGCACCTCAAAACCCTAAGCATGCTACACTCTGCCATGCCTTTTAATTAATGACCTGCTCCTTGCACAGCAGGCAGCAGAAGGCTTGCAGCTACATAACTACAGAACTGACCATGACAAGATGACACCACCCAGATTAAGAGGACTTTCTTTTAATCTTATTCCTTTTCCTCAGCCTGCTCTATGTTCCAAGAGGTCAAAGTACTATCCCTCCAGTTCACTTAACTGTGATGCTTCTCCCTCACCTACAACTCTTCTCTCAAAAACCTACACTTAAAGTACCCAACATTAGCAGCCCCAAGCATTGGAAAGACAACAGAATTTGTGTTGCTTTCCTGCTTTCCTCCCCAGCCCATTGCCTACCTGTGCCAGAGAGGAGGGACACTTTGAATCCAGGGAATTGCCACAGAAGAGAATGGCAAATTTCTGACTCACTTATTTTCTCCAAAATTCCTTTAACTCTCTGCAGGAAGACTGGCAGGTCTGTTGCTATGCTGGCCCACAGCATGCCAGAGGCTGCTGTCAAATCAAGGCTTTAGGAGAAATCATAGAGCAGCAGGCACATCGAAACAGCACTGGAGAAGTCATCTGCAAGGAAGAGCAAATCCCATGCCATGTAACATGAAAGCAGGTTATAAGTATTTATTCTGCTATCACTCCTAAACTCCCAGGGACCGGGACTTTTTTATGCTACTCATATCCTCCAATCTAGTTAACTCAGTTCCCTGGAGACTGGTGCTGTAGGACACACAGACAGGGCTGAGAGCTGAGAAGCTCTGGGATTTCTGATGTCTCCAGCCACACTCAGAGCCAGCCAGAGCGATGCAGGACACCTCATGCAATCCATCTGCTTCCATGGGTTCACCTAGAAAAGCACCAGCCCTCCAGCTTAGCCCTCAGTTACACAAAACAGCAGAGTGGTAGAAAAGTTGCTCCCTTTATTTCAGCAGTGTCCACAGGCTCTGGTGAACTGATCGACAGCTCCTGTCCCACAGAGCTGTATCTAAAATAATAAGCAGCCAAAGGGAGGAGACACACACCAACAGGAAACTTGACTGATTTTTCTGTGTGATAAAGAATGAGTGACTATATTATTGATATAGTTGCAGACAAGATCTCAGGGGTCCTGAAAAACAAAATGGAAATGCCACTTGCTTTAGACAAACACACAAAGCACTGGGCCTGATTTCCTATTGGTGACCCTTACATAACATCCATGTAACCCAAAGAATTTTCACACTTACTCCTCACACAAATAAAGAAGAAGATAATCTAATTTTATGTTTGGTTTGGAGAAAAAGCTACTGCTTTTGGCATACTGAAGCATAAGTAACCTGTTAGCAAGTATTTTAGAAAACATCTCAGTTTGGTGAACATATTCCCTCGAGTTATTTCTATGATCTAAGTGAGCAGCCAGTGCTGTACTAATCTTTTCAAAATTATCCACTATCAGCTAATGAGTCCTGCATTACAAATTCCACCAAAAAGCCTCTTTGTTGTGCATGCACAGCACTTCGCTAAAGTCATGGAGACATTCCCCAGACAGAGCAGACTGGAATAAATCAGACACTCATTCTGTAACAATTACCTGAAAAAGTTAATGTTTCCTTTCTTCTGTGTATTATAAAACTTCATGTACCACAGGAACAGAAGCTCAAAGGCCATACAGTACTTTCACTTCATGTGTGAATCTTCCAGTGATGTCAACCAAGTGTGAGGACTTGATTCTCAGCCAGTGTAACTTCTGCCAGGAACTATTTTCAAACATACCCCATCAACTCTGGGCTCACACTCGTATCCCAACAAGGATCATGGTTGCTTCTAATTGTCTCTTATATTCCAAGAGCTATACTATCCTTGTTCCAAGGCATGGGTCAAAATACTGCAAGAAATGCAGGGCATGGAGTAGAAGAAAGGTTATTTTGAACTTCCTAGACTTCTCACAAAGTTTTCAGTTTCTGCAGATAGATTTAACCAGTTTCATCATTTTGGTTACACCAGAACATCTTTTACATCAGAACAACTAACTTTTTGTTATCAAGCCCCTTTTTTAAAATTCTAGTTATATACCACTCTCTTGAACTCAAATAGCTCAGATTCACATATAAAGATTGAGATGAGATAATGGAAATAAAAGATATTGAATCAACTGGTTTTGTAGACAAAATAAGCATCTGTAATTACAAAGCAGTCAACACACTGACTCTAACTCAAGTTACATTACACACTGGCCCCTCAGATCCCAGGACTTAAAATCACCTTTGCTCTCTCTGTCACAGGTCAAGTATAGCTCAGCCAAACCAGGAGATTAGTGCCAAACAGTTTGTATTTCCAACAATTAAATATTGAATTCTCCTTTTAGGAGTCATTCAGAAGCCACGCTTGCACAATTATTTGCATACACAGATTCTTTATTTCAGCCTCAAATACAAAAAGCTATTAACAGTTGGCCAGATTCTGATCTCATTTGCCCTAGTGCAAAACCCAGTGTATTTTCATTAAGATCAGTGGAGCAGAGTTTCATACCACACACGGGAGAGCATCACTCCTTTTTCACTGAGGCAGCTCACATCACGAGTTGTGTGCCTGTGGCACATGTGGCCTGAAGATTTCTGTTCTGTGACACAGGTGACCAGTTCTGCTCACTGTTCTTCTAAGTCCTCTTCAGCCTCGTCATAATCCCTCATGGCCTTAATTTTAAATGGACTTTGTTTCACTGACAGACCAGGGCACATTACTTACTCCCCTTAATTCACTAGCTTTACCAAAAGCACACTAGCTGAGTACCACTGAACAAAAGGCAAACTCGTTTCTACAGTGTATTTACACACAATAAAATGAACCAATCAAGCAAACAACTGTATACAACGTTCCTATTATTAACTGAAATGAGAAGAAACTCTCTTCAGTACTTCCAGGACTTGTAAAAGCATGCTTATGTCCTATGTAACTCAGGGCTTACATCAATTATTTGGTCCTCAAAGCTTTGAGCCAAGTTTTCTCCACAGTATTTACTCCCTGGAACTCAAAAGAGTCAACAGATAACTGGTCTCAAACACCGTTTATTCAGTGCACTCCACTGAAGGCAAATTCTGCTCATTCTTCCAGACTGACAGATCAACCTATTCTAACTTCTCCTGGACTCCCTTTGCTATACATCACAGCCACTGTCACACTCACATGCATGCTAACACTCCCAGACTAACACTTGGCCAGTGAGGGACAGCAGCTGGGTGCCAGTGGGCACGACAACAAGTGCACTAAGAAACTAGCACACTGCTGCCAGTCAGTCAATTACAACGAGCACAAGAGCATGCACATCCAGCCTGAGAGAACAGAAATCTTAATTGCATTGTTCTGCATGCCCACAACAGCTGGGTTAGGAGTCACTGCTCTGCTCTTCTACAGACACAGTGTTTGGAAGTGCATAACCACTGCTTTGTGCTTCTATTTCTTTCTGGTAATGTAATAAAGCAATTCCCAGTTATAAGAAATGTTACCATTTATGACCACAATGAGGTTCAGAGAAGGTACAACCCTTGGTATGTAACACACAGAGCGGTGGCTGAAGCTTTTGCTCCTCCCATTGGGCAATCTGACCTCAGACTGGAGCCACACACCACCCCATTAAGCATCATCCCACAGGACTATATGCCCTGCAGACACTTTTCTGCCACTTTGTGAGATCACACAACCTGAGAAGCAAACTCCCCCAAATGCTTCCCCTTGCATAAAGGGAAAAGTAACTTATTTCACAAATACAAGGCACACTGAATCACCCCAGCTTGACTACTGATCCATGCCAAACAAACAATGCTAGTTTCAAGGACCTCCTTCTGACACCCTTCCACTGAATAATTGAATTGAAGGGAAAAACTTGACGTGTCACAGTACTGTATCTCTGATGCTAATTTATGTCTTTTTTTTCCTATTAGAATACATGGAAGCAGAAGATTACCACACTTTTCAAGCAAAAATACTAATTAGTGGGTTTTAACTCTGGTAAACCTGGAAAAAAAGGCAATGGGCCAGCCAGCTCCTCTGTGCACAATCCCCCAGTGACTCAACCAGAGCATACCTACATGAGGCAAGAGCCAAGAAGATAATCAGATAATTATGTTCCAACTGTGTACAGCCAGATTTGCAAATAGAGAACGCGGCCACTGTATTTGAAATGTAGTATTATCGTCTCAATAAAGCAGCAGTATGAGACTATGCATCCAATATTTTAATTCCCAGGTAAAACTAGGGTAAAAGCACAGCAAATTTACAAAACAGCTCTTAACTGCTTGGAAAGGACATCAGTCAGGCTGCTTGGACAACCTTACTTGCACCTTCTTGTATAGGGAATGAGTGACTGGATACTGTAGTACAGTGTCAGTCTAGAGTGTAAGTCTAGTAACAGCTTCAGAGCCTTCTGCCTCAAATACCCATATGCTGACACAGCATATACGGGGTAAACATATATTCTATTTAACATTGTGTATACACCAATAAATATAGATGCAAATAATCTTGATAAATCAAGTACTCATGTGAATTTTTCTAATACTCTCCAAAGTATTTGCCACTGTTACTACAATCCCTTCCAAAGGGAATAGCACCAGTACAAGTCTAAAAGGCTAAATGAATGAGGACCTCACTCCCCCTGCACACCAGGAAGAACTTAGACTCTGTAATAAGGACAAAGCTTTTAGCATAACTCAAAAGCCACAAGGACCTACAGCTTACTACAGGAACACAACAGAAGAGATCAGAGACTTTGTTAGGTGAAAAGAAAGCAAAGTGTGCCAAGTTACTCAATTGTTTTGTGGACTTAAAATTGCGTTGGCATCCTCATACAGCCTCGCAAATTGAAGTACATACATAAAGATACAAATACAGTTACGACACTGTCATGAGCTCCATGCAAATAGTTCTATATGAGCTATGTCAATTCCTGTGTGCAAGGCTCTCTGCAGGATCAGGACTGCAACCTATGCACAGAAAAACTGGTAAAGTGTGTTTACGTAATATGTAAATAGATAAAGAAAAGTACATTCACACCAACTATTGAGGAAAGAAAACTAATCATTTTTCTATTGCTAAAAGTACTGAATCACTAACCATCTGGTTTGTGAGGGAAGAAAAACTCAGTCCAATTCAGCTATGAAGAAAATCCTGTCTAAAAAAAGTAATCACATGCTAGATGTCCCTAAGTTTTATTTCCAATCATTTTAACACAGAGATGTGGAGAATTTCATTTTCCTGGAGTGTTGGGGATAGGTCCAGTAAAAGTGCAGGGGATCATGGCTTAAGGTCATGGGAAAACCTTTCACAGTAGAGGTGAGTAAAAAAATCACCCCCCAAATCCTCCAGTTCCAGTATGTTGATCATTGCCAGAAAGTTCTCTGCTTCCCTTGTTGTCATTGGTTCCTTTTTGCTGCAATAATTTCAGTATTCCTAATCACCCTTCCCTACTGGATACCCTCCCCAAACTCTGTCCTAATTCCGCCCCTCCTCCAAGTTTATAAATACCCCTGCCATGCCCTAACACTTGCTTTTGGCCATTTGCCCTCATGCATGGAACTAGCATCCCTGTACCATCTTCCTGTGTTCATTCAGTACAAACTGTTCGGCTTGCTGTTTGTTGTTTTCTATTATTAAAGCTTTTTAGTTCCAGAACAATTGGGTCAGATTTTCTTTCTGCATAAAATCACTGAGTTCAGTAAAGCCACCGACCCTAATATCCGGGCTAGGATCAGCTGAAGGCTTCACTAGGGTTAAAAAAAAACAAAACTCCAAAACCAACAGTAAGAATGATGTGTGGCTTGTTAGGCCCTGCTCCTGCTATGAGAAATAGTGGAAGCTACTTTTCAGGAAAAAGTGGAGTTTCTGCATCAGTTTATGCTAGAATTCATTCTAATTTTTAAAGAAAAATCTACCACACTTCTGTTACCATGCTGTGAAATGCAAAAGTAAAATCAAGATATTTAGTAGCTGAACTAACTTGCCATTATACCGTGATAACTTGGTGTTTTTTTCCTTAACCATCCTATGTTATACATAAGTGGCATGTTACTGACAGGTGTATTATTCTACCCTAAAAAGGGCATGTGGTCACATAAATACTCTGTGCATTAAACCACAACCAGCAAAGGTCTTGTTTACAGCTCTGGCAAAGATTTGTCATTTCCAAACTTGTGACTTGTCACTTTGTCCTCAAACACATCACTACTATCTTAATTTTTAAAGAAATTAAAAATTTTATATCATTTCAATCCACACTTCAAAACCCAGTCTACGCACTGCGCTGATCTTCCAAAGGCCTTTGTATGTCCCTTTTAACAGCTGTTCATCATGGAATCAAACTTTCCTGTTCCCTCCCTGCCTCGTTCCCTGCACCACACCAACTCACCTCTTCATGCTGCTTCTCTGGAACATCCCCCTGACCTCATTCATTGGCATTTCACTCACTCTAGCATCTCTTCCTTCTCTTTTTCCTTTTTGATTTTTCTCTACCAATTGCCAATGATTTCTAATTGATTTTCTTTGATTTGGAAGCAGTCAGACACTGGTTGTTCTCTCAAAGAGAGATCAGTGCTGCGCATGGGTGGCTGTAAGAGTTCTGCGGGTCTTGGCCATTTTCTTCTACTTCTCTCAGTCTACCTCACTTGTTTCAACACTTGAATAAAATTTCCTTCCTCCTCACAGAGGCATGGAGTCTAACAAAGACCATTTACCTATAGGACAGAGAATCATTTTATTGGATTTATCAATTAACCTAAACCTTACAAACATCTGAAAACAATTAAAGGAATTTACATCCTACTAAATACCTTACCCACTAAGTTCTACCATTAACCTCTTTTGCTGCTGAACATTTCCATGAAGAAAAAATTATTTAAAATAGAAAAATATTTTTGGCTGTTTGTTTCTTTTTAAATCCATCATTGTTGATTAGCCCTATATAGATCCCCACTGGGATAAACTTGATCCAAAATAATTAAGAAATTAAGTAGTTCTCTCTCTTCCTGAAAGACGATTCCTAAAATAATGTGTTACATTTATAACCAAAGGCAATCAAGTTACTATGGCTTTACCTGTGTGACAGCTATACTCAGTCCTCACTCATGATTGTGAGAAAGGCTTAGCATCAAGATATTGTGTGGTGAAGCATTTTTGGCAGTGAGGGAAGGCTATGAATGAGCGTGACTCAGTGGCACAGCAGTAACTTTTTAAGCCACTGAAACAGGATTACTTTAGACCTTGCTAATAAGGTTGTTCCAGAGTTGGTGTGTGACCAGTACTTAGCACAGCACAAGCAGTGGCAGACCCACAGCTTGCACCCTCTGGGCCTCCAGAGTTAGTGAGTAACCTACTGCCACCTATTGCCAATTCTCAGGCTCTGAGAGAATGGAATCATACTCTAGCCTAGGACAAAAGTGCTATTTTACTGCACCTATCGCATAGCAGGTGAAAGGGAATATATGGCACTGAGGTCAGTGATAATGAAAGAGGAGACATGCACAGAGACACAGGGTTTTCCCTGCAAGGGAGCAGCTTCCCTCCTCCTCACACCCAGGGTCGGCCCTAGACAGTCAGCAAGTTCAGAAGGAGTGTAGCCATGGCTAACTCACAGCACCCATCACCATATCTAACCTGAAGGGCACCAGAGACATCAGCACAGATCTGATTGCCATCAGTGGAAAGCATGAAGTAGATGGAGTTGAATTCAGATGATCAGAATAAGGCTCATTATTCCTGCAAATTCATGCACAGCCTTTCCTACTCTGAGTCACTCCAACTCCTGCTCTAGGCTGTTCTGTAGCAAACTGTCAATTAAACTTACTAATGATGTGCTTTATATAGAAATAGTGCATTTAACTGAGGAGCTACAACACATGAAGAGTGCAGCAAGGGGTGAATTACGTGGTTCATAGAACCATAGAATTACCTGGGTACAGAGTGGCCTTAAGGATCATCTACATCTAGTTCCAACTCCCCTGCCATGGGCAGAGACACCTTCCACTACAGCAGGATGTTCAGAGCCCAGTTCAGCTTGGCCTTGAACACCTCCAGGGATGGGGCAGCCACTAAGGGCAACCTCCCAAGGCAACCTGTGCAGGGCCTCAACACACCCACAGTAAACATGTTTTTCATAGTATCTACTCTCAATCTGAATCCATTCCCCCTTGTCCTGTTCCTACACGCCTCTGTAAAACTGCCATCTCCATTCCTCTTGTAGCTTCTCTTCAGGTACTGGAAAGCCACAGTTAGGTCACCACTAAGCCATCCATTGTCCAGGCTGAACAAACCCAATTCTCTCAGCCTTTCCTTGCAGGAGAGTTGTTCCATCCCCCTAACCATATTGGTCGCCTCCTATGGACTCTCTCCAGCAGTTAACGGAATGCAGGATGCATCTCAGTAAAAAAGTGGTAAAGGTGGGTGGGAGTCTTAATATTAAATAGATCTGCTTGATGTTTGGTATATATAAGAACCTAATTCCCCTTTTGATTTCAGTGCAGTTATATCTAGCACTCCCCTGTTTCTACTGGTATATAAATTCTCTGATGAATAATTGATAACCAACATTCTTTTATGTAAGCCATTAATGGAGAGCCAGCAAATATTGCAGACATGCTGTTGGTCTTCTCTTTTAAGTCCTGTTCTCTTTTAAGTCCTGTTCTCGTCTGAATCATGTTTGGTTACATTCTTACCTAGCTCCTTCATTGGTGGCAGCTATTAAAACAAAACAACAACAAAAAAACACTCAAAACAAAGGAAAAAAATAACAACAACAACAACAAAAAAACCACCCTTGAAGAACCAGTAGCAGAAACAGTGCAAAAGAGATGCTCTTTGACAGAGATTCTTGGGTTTTGTCCTATGTAAATACACATCTGCAGCTGTTGGCAACATTGTAACAGAGAATGGTTTCTGTACTGCCTGTCCAAAGTCTGAATCTTGTAAAATATTCTGGCGGTGCAACACAAGATTTAGCAACAGGTAACACTGACTTTCTACACAAGCAGCTTTCATCCACTACAGATGGTTTTATCTGATGGTTACAGGGAAGTCTAACATCTCAAAAGAAATTAGAAGGTATGGGGAGCAACCTCTAAAAGAAAGTAGAAATTAACGAGGGTTTTTCACAAACTTGGAGGGAAGTGCAGTATGTAACAGCAACAAAGAACCAAGAAGTTGTTCAAAGTTTGGAGTCCAGGTAGAAAGGGGAGAAGACTGAAAGTAGTGGGGTTGGGCAGGAGAAAAGAGCTGTGACACTTCTCATTCTCTTTCAGTATATGGAGAAACAAAACGAACACAGGAGAAGACCAAAACTATAATCTGAACCTGACCTCTCACTCGCTGGTTGTATCATAAAACCTCCAAGCTGAACTTTGGTCATTGCATTGACCAACATAATGCAGTCCCAAAGCCTAGCCAAGCAACTACATGATTTTTTTTCTCACGTATGCTCAAGATAGTAGAGGCCTCCTAAGAATACGGCCTTTCAGAAGAAAAAACATGTCAATTTTATTGCTAGCTGGCTGGACAGTTTCCGTTTTTCTTTAGGTTGGTTTGTGGGTTTATTTGAATATTACTGCACTGAAAAAATGTGGGTGTGATATAGGATTTAACTGGAACATTAATATATTTTTGTCTGTATCTGTTAGAAATGGCAATCAGTACAGCAGTTAAAAACATTGGGGATCATAATATACAAACCTCATCACCAGTTTAACATGGCACCAGGATTGTCCACGTAAAGATGTTCTTAAAATCTTAATAAATATCCCTGTATGTAGAACTTATGATTCATGGTTTACAGAGTGATAAGTAGTGAAACTGTCAAGTAACTTACCTAATACCACTCAGCAAGGCAATAGCAAGCTGAGTTCAGACTCAGAATTCTGCTTTTTCATGCTGATATTTCCTTCAGCTGCAAGCTACTCCAACCACACAATGTACAACAAATACCAAGCATTTGTTTTCACAAAAGAACTGATTTTTGTGCTGCATAGAAAAAGAGCCAGCATGTCCAAAAGCAAGTATTCTAGCTCTCACAAGCAAAATGCAATTGTTGGGGGAGGACACAAATAGGTGGCCAATAAAGAATTTATCATTATCACTAATAACAGTACTGCCAAAAATTCCAATGCACATCTTCACAATTAAACTGACTACCCCTGTGAAGGGGGCTGAATAAAATAGTACACTGAACAGAGAACCTTCTGATCCCTCGGCTTCTAACAAAATGCCAGTTGCCACCAAAAGCAACAGTGATGAGAGTGTCCTCAGCAGTTCATTTCCATACAGGAAGCTCACAGACCTTTAAAGACTCTCCCTCTCCAATTGGGATAATGCCCCCTCATCCTAAGCATCCTGCCAGACCCATTCCTGCCAGGTACAGAAACACACACCCGATTTTCACCCTGTGCTCCCAACATTGGCACGGGGCAGACTTAACAAATCACTTAGCATTTAACAAAGAGCTGAAGATTGCAATGTTTT